ACAGGAGCAGCAGCTCCGCTCACTTAACATTAAGTGGGTGGATGTGCAGCGTCATCAGGTCGTCTTCCTTCAGTCTCGCTGCTCTTCATACACACTGCAGATCTGTAGATGGATAAAAATCCTGGCATAAAAAACAGAATTTAAACAGATATACAGTTATATAACAGCGACGTCTCCGTACAAGTTTTTACAGATGTCAGTCCGATACCTTCTTCTCTCCTCCTGCATGCAGGGGGCACTCTTTGCTTAGGCGATAGTGTCTCTGTTCACGACATGTCGCTCAAAGTTAAGATGAGAATTTGGGTTTAGGTATCGGATCTGACTGAACACGGTGCAGGGTATGACAAGTATTCAACGTCTACATTTAACTCTGTACAAATATTTTAAAATATTTGAATCACACACATCACAGTGATAACAGGGCTGGGTTGTTATCATAATTATAATTATTCTAATTATCATGGCCGAGGACATTTGTCTACTTCAGTTTCTAATTCCACCAAACTGAGTCCAAAGGAAACACTTGTGCGGAACATTACGAAAGAACATCGTCCGAGTTTTTTTTTCTTCCATTTTTCTACTGCAGTAAACTGTCAGATATAAATCATCCTGTTGTTGTTGTTTTTTTTCTCAGTGAACTCTGGCCCTCGTTCTTCGGACGATGAGGACAACAACCCCACAACAGTCCTCGGGGCGGAGTGTTCACAGTTCACAGCCCGGCCCCGACTGTTCTAAACAGCTGCACGCAGCTGGAGTCCGCTTTTTAACTGAGAGGAGTTCGGATGAGAGACAAAAAGATGTGGAGGATGTGGTCCAACCCCTGGCTGGAGGCCACTCTCTGTGGAGAGGGTGGACCGTGATCACTGGATGATTGTTATTTGCTTGTTGCAAAACTGACAGGAAATTAACCAGGGCCAAAAAGCAGCCAAAATATATCCGATATAAAACAGATGGGTTTTCACGTACGTGGATTTACCTTCTGTCTGTGGATCGTAGCTGTGCCCAGCGGGGGTTAAACGCCAGGGTGGAGGTCGTACCATTTGCTGACCCTTGAGAGAAAGGTGTCCACGTCAACCCCAAAGCATCTCTGGTCTGGTCTCTCTGGTCCAGAGAGACCATAGTGTCCTGTGAGCTGTTGAAAACCATTTCCCACTGATAGTAAAGATGGTCGCTGCGGTGCAGTGTTGTGGCGAGGCCTGACGGAGGAGACTGGGTTTACTGTCTAACAAGTCAGTCTACACAGCAGTTGGAACACGACAAATAAACACAAAGAAACGGTTTCACAATTCAAATACAACAGAAACAAGAGCTGGAGCCTCAACAACAGAGCAGTCGATCTGACACTGCGTTCCCAGTCAGAGGGACTTTTATACGGAGCAGGTAATCAGCCGCAGCTGGTGGTCACAGGTGGAGCCGATGACGATGATGATTAGAGAGCAGAGATGGTGGAGAGTTCAGGACTGAACACAGAAAAGTTCTGGCAAATTCTGTGTTTGTATATTTGGTTTGTACAATGAAAAAAAAAAAAGAGTTTTGACACAGGTCCAAGGTCAAAGGTCAACATCATATACTGTAATTTTCATTTCTATGATATTTGTGGGATGATTGTGATCAGTCGGATCTGAGGAGTTCAATGACCATGATCATTGTCCTTCAGACATTTAATTCCAAGAAAGTCTCTGTCCCTGGTCCTGTCCCTGGTCCTGTCCCTGGTCCTGTCTCTGGTCCTGGTCCTGTGACTGTGTCATCATTAGCCTGTGTCACAGTCTGAACCACAGTCCCACCTGTCTTCTCTCCTCATCTTCTCTTGTCCATCTTCCTCCCACATGTCCTCTCAAACTACGTCCTCCCTCGCCCTCCCCGTCCCTCTGTCTCCACTGCCACCCCGCGGTGTCACTTCCACAGAGTTAATAGACAAAACAAGACCAAATTAGTGTCGTTGTCTAACATACTGAGCTCATTGTTTCCTGACTTCACAGGTCAACGTCCCATTTTCTCTCTCCGTGCACATCTGCCTGCGAACATCTGGACAGCGTCAGCGTTTCAGAGCGCCCATCATTCTTTTCCCCGTTCTGACACGTCTCATTTTCTCCCAGACGTCAAAAAGGGAGAAAGAGCAGATATTTCACTTTGGAAATCGAACAAGAAATCTGCCTCAACCGTGCGTGGTCAGAAACAAAAGGTTTTATTAGATGTGGCCAAGGCGATGACAGCGCGGTGAGGGTGAGGTTTGGTGGAGAGCCTGTAGACAGATGTGGAGGTTGGTGGAGAGCCTGTAGACAGATGTGGGGGTTTGTGGAGGCCTTACATCAAAGTTGAAAGGTGTTCTGAGTACTACTCAGGACAAAAGTAGATACAAGTATATATGAATATATATATAAATATTTGTTGTTATATTTATGGCCATCAAACTCTTCAGAGACATTATCCATCATAATTACATGTGACTAAAAATTATTATAAGATCTCGTACATTCATCTTCTGCTGCGTTATCCACTTTAGGGTCGTGTTGGGAGTTGGATTCAATCCCAGTTGTCATCGGGCGAGGGCGGGGTTCACACTGGACACATATGGAACAAATTAATTTAAAGGGTCTGATTATTTGAATCTGAATTTTTTGGGGCCGTGGGGGGGAATCAGAGCACCAGACAAAAATAAAATATAAACATGACAATGCCATAGAGAGAAAGCGGAATCGAACCATTGATCTTCTCATTGTGAAACGACTCTGTCACTGCATGTGTAATTCATATCTTACAGCCAAGCACAACGAATAAGAAGTTTACGATTAAAAAAAAAAAGTGAAATATGGAAAAACATAAACACAGTTTTCTTGGCAATGAAAATACACATGACAATATTTAAAACCATTTTATAGAAGTTCTCAAACCTCGATGCTACTTTAGCTAGAGTCGCGATATGTCCTCGGGATAAACGTCGCACCAAATCTACGTAGCGAAATGTTTTTGAAAAGAAACTTTTGATGTTTTATTACCACGTACTGTTGCAGTACGTGGGCGCCATTGTTTCAAGTCTGGATTTTGGCGCCTGAAATTCTACTTGGTTTTAAATAAACCTTCCACGGACTCTGGTACAAATAGATTTTCACCATGACCTCCATGATTTGAAGCACCTGTCGTGTACACTATATATGTCAGCGGGACGATTTGCGGCCGTTTTTTTCCCAAAGAACACAAGTGGGGCCAAAAGATTGATCGTTGGAATGTGAAATAAAAAAAAGATGACGTTTGATTTACGAGTGTTTCTCTTCCACTTGTGATCTCCTCAACATATGCGAATAGCATCAAAGTTAAAAGGGAGGTCAAATTTATGCGTTGGTATTTGGTATCATGAAGTAATACAATAAAAAGGCAGAAGCAGGGTCTGGTACCAGGAGTTTTTTTTTGGAAAATATTTTGTGAATATTTATTATAAAAATATAAATGTTTCCACTACAAATCATTTTACATTAGTAGACAAGGCCATCTACAGTTGCACACGTGAAATTATCACACAGAAAAAGAAGGGATCTGGATATAGAGTGCCCTATGACAGTATTGCTCTTTCAGACGTCCCAGGTTCATAAAGTAAGTCCAAAACTATTACACAAACACCGACACATAACTTACTGTATGCTACAAAAGAAGACACCGACGTTGCTCCGAATAATGTTAACAAATAAATAACAAAGTAATCATAATTATTTTTATTGTAAAAAAAAAAGAACAAGCAGATGACAATTATAAATCAAAAAAAGATAAAATATAATACAGATTATTTTTGTCTCTTTTTTTTAATCAAAATGTTGCCGTGTTTTTTTGTGTTTTTTTTTTCGTTTATACTTTTGTACATACAAACATTTGTACAAAGAGGGATAGCCATGTACATACAGTGGGATCTGTAGCGCTTGTTGCTATGACTGTGATGGTTGACGTTATGTACATGCTAATTAAACCACGTAGCAGTAACAGCAGTCGAGTAAGTGACGGCAGGACCGGGTAATAACACTGAACAGGAGTTAGGGTTTCCCAAAGGTGCAGATATTCACCTCCAGAATTTCAAAGTGCTCAAATACTGTGAAGTAAGTGCTGAGAAGAAGCTGAAGGATAATGATGTCATGTTTATATATGAGGCACCCAACTGCACAGAGTGGATAAACCGGCCAGGCTGAGTAAGAGACCTTCAAGCAAGAGACGAGGATCTGTTAGACCGAACCACAGAGACTGAACACGGAGAGTTGGTGCACCTTACGAAAAGAAAAGAAAGTAAAAATGTGTTGTCTGGTAGGTAGTTTGAACCTTGATTTAAAATAAAAATATAAACAAAATAAAATATAAAAAATTACTGGAAGTTTGAACCTGAATCACTGGGTTCAAAGGTTGGGTATCGAGGAGCATTGTTTATCGTTCCAAAAATAATTCTGCCTCATCACCAAATTCGATCAGCACAAAAAAAAAAGAAGCTTGAAACGCCTACATCGCCCCTTTTTTTATGAATTTTGAATCATCACTTTATTCACTTTATTTTAACTAGTCGTGAATTAAGCGAAACACATGATAACCTTTTGCCTACATTGTTCACAAACTTCTCTGCTCAACTTCAGGGAAGTGATGTCGGGAAAAAAAACAAAACTCATCGCTGATTGGACGCCACGTTGCGATGTAGCCAAAACTATCCAATCCATTAGGAATCAGTAATTACTTACAATAATACAATAATTACGATAATTGTGTTTTTTTTTAATCATTCCATAGCCGTGTTTCTGGTTTTCTCTTTGTGTTTTTCAGTTTTGTCATTAACTGCAGATAAAGATCAATAACATTTTTGTCCAACTTTATTATTTGATGTTTATTTTGGAATTCAGTTGTATTTTATTTTATTCCCTTTTAGTAAAGTGAACCAACTTTCTGGTAATTTTTCGGACCCTGCTCCATCACAGGGATGTCAAATATTTTCAAGTTGCTTTTAGGGAAATCCCGTCCTTCAGAAAATCTCGGACCCTGCTCCATCACAGGGATGTCAGTTGCTTTCAGGGAAATCCCGTCCTTCAGAAAATCCGTGAATTGTGAGAGATTTTTATATCTTTGTCAGATCGTTTTAGTTTCTTTACTTTCACTTTTGACCTTTTACCTCATTCTGATAGGAGGAGACGAAAAAGAACCAAGACTTGACGACTTCAATGAAACGAAAGATCCCACCATGAAACATCTAACAGCCACAGGGGGCACTCTACTTTTAATCACACAGGGGTTTCTGGATTCAAAGCTAATTTTAGACCAGAACAAAGTAGGTTTTAACAGCAAATTTCTGATCAAAGAAAACGACAGAGCTCAGGTGTTTTAAAAAAAAAACCAACAAATCGCCGACTTGATGTCTGTGCGTTCAACACACCGGGATTTGGGGATAGAGAGCTAATTTTGAACGAGAACAAAGTCCTTTTAACTGCAAATTTCTGATCAAAGAGGTAAACAACAGATCAAAGTAGGGGTTTTGTTAGTGAGTTAAAGAAACAAACGATTGTGTTTGCACGTTGACAGAAGTAGAGAGCCAATGAAAAAACAAAACAAAAACTTTCAGGAAATGGAGCTCAACTCCCGATGTGAGGGAATCAACGTCGACCTTTTTACCTGAAGAAGAAACCGCAGTACGAACTAACTTCAGGTTTGAAATTCTTCCACAGCAGCATCAGCAGAGACCTGGATAACGAGGCTTTGTCTTATTAAAGCTGTCTTTTCCTCTCATCAGTTCCTCCCTCGTTGCCTCCCCCGTTCTCACTCACAGCTCTCTGAACCTACACTCTCAATGTTTTCTATACTTTCCCTTTCTCTCTCTACCATCTCTCTCTCTCTCTTTCTCTCTGTTCCTTCTTGTTTGAAATTTAGAACAAAACACCTAATATATATATATATATAGTTTTTCTGTAGCGGGTACGACCAAAAAAGTGTAGAAAAACTTGCGGAAGAGCTCGAAGAAAATTGACTCGGAAACAGTTTCTTCTGTGACACGTTACGGCACCGTTACCTTCAAAGCGCAGCGTTCCCTACGTTATACATGTGGCGGACTCATGGCTTCCATAGAACGAGACTGAATAATATTATTGCTTTTATGTGGCGTGTCTACTGAATGTAATATGTTAGAGCTACAGGGTAAGAAGGCTGGGGTTATCGTTCCGAACAGCTCCGCTCTGTCACGGATAGAGACAGAAATGTAGGTAGTTACAACAACAATCTCACACCCCGGACAGCAGTAGTCCAGAGGGCGCGGCGGGGGGCGAGAGAAGGGGGGTCCACAGGTCAGGTGAGTCGCCGTAGTCCTCCATGCACGGCCACACGAGGCATCGCACTCCTTTCACTGCCGTAGTCCGCAGTCTGGACGGAGGAGAGCGTCGGCGGTGACGGAACACTTTTTACCCTGAAAAGCGAAGGCTAAGCTGCTGCGATACTGAAGAGCTCCAGCTTTAAGGTTGACCTTCCCCTGTAGTCCAACTTGAGATTAAATACCTGACCGGGTCTCACTGACCTCCTCCGCTCTCCTCTACTCCCCCTTCCATCTGATTAGTCTGTAAGGCATCTCCACTTGAGCACGGAGGGTTTGGAAGGTAGAAGAGTCAGTGGGTTAGCTATAGCAGGCAGGTCTGCACCTGAGTCCAGTTCTCTGTCAGGAGTCCTTGCCTGGATCATATCCCCTCCCCCCCCCCCACCCATCCATGTTCTCATCCGCTTGGATACGCAGCCACCGTAGCAGACTGCGACTAGCATCCGCAGTCTGTTAGCAAAGAGGCGCAGACGTGTTCGATTTTTTTAAACAGGTACTGGGCCGTCCTTGGTGTGGGAATCTAGGGCTTTGAGGCTGCTTACGATCTTCTTTTGTGGTGCTGCGATAGTCAGTCCGACCTTTTTCAGATCCCTGGGTGAAGGAGGGGAGACAAAGGGAGTGGGAGAGACACAGAGACGGAGGGACAGAAAGACAGAGAGAGAGAGAGAGAGATGTAAACGTGAGTATATAAAAAAAGAAAATGAAGATGAAACAATGCGTCGGTGACAGAGGCTATCACACCCCGGCCCCCAGTGCTGCTCCTTTCACTGCCCTATAAAGCTGTCAGGATCGCAGAGCTGCATTACCCAGAAGGCCACTGTGCCACCACACAGTGGGGATGTGTGTGCCCCCGTGGGGGTGTGGCACCCACTCTCCATCACCAACAAACAGAGAGGTGGGACGGTGGCACCGCGGTGACAGCTGCTATTATGACCCTGTCAGTGCAGGAAACTGTGCCGTGTCGGGCCCTGCTGGTGAATGGAACACATTTCCATTTGTACAGAACTGTGTCGGTTTGACCCTGTAGGTTTTTTTTTTTTTTTTTTTCCTGTGAGGGAGAGGAGCAGCACTGGGTCCAGGACGAGACGCCGTCGGACGCGGTCGCTCAGACGTGTTTGTTAAATTGTTAATATTTCAAAACTGCAGGTGAAGTTTAGTTACAACACATGCACTCAGGTGGAACAGAGGCAGCTGATAAAACAGAGGCTGTGTGTGTTCAGTATATGGAGGAGGGGGGGGGGGGTCTCCACTTACGGTGTTCTAAACCTACGGCACAGCGTAAATCGATTTTTCGCCAAAAGACGGAACTTACATACAGTACAGATACAGAAGTACGTTATCACAGCGGTAACATCGTAATCTAGGTCAGGGGTCGCCAACTTTTTTATGCTACTTCAAGGGCACTAAGTCATACAAAGAGCTGCTTGTTCGATACGGATTTCCTGTATTTACAATGTAATAATAATTCGTTCTGGGTGGAAGTGGAACTGATTCAAAAAGCACGGTAACAAAACAATTTTCGACCATCTTGATGACTTGTCTTATTTTTAGAACATTCCCACATTTGCCCTACATTGGTGACCCCCCCCCTGATCAAGGCCATGAAAACATCTACAGTCAATCTTACGCCTGGAAGTCATAATGAAGGGCAAAGGTAACTTAAAAACACAACGCAATCGAACGATAGTGAAAATCGCAGAATCCGATGTCTGGCGAACAACTGGTTAATGGAAACTAAGACGTCTTCTGCGTATAGCACCACCTGACAACGGATTCGTCCGCTCCGCTCGCTAAGTAGTTCCCGCGCGAAATTTGTTTTAATGAGGTACGTTGGATTGATGCAACAAGAGACCCGTGATGTAACCACGACACACGGTGGCTCGAGGAATGTCGTTCAGTGAGGAGCCTCTGTATATATAATACACTGCAGTGAAGTTAGTCTGTTGGAGTCACTTAATAATAAAAAACACATGATAATAATAAAAAAAACCCTCCTAAAAACATCATGTGAACACAACAACACACAAACACACACCCAGGAAACAAAGAAGCCAAAGCGCATATGAAAGTGCGACGCCCTCCTCTGTTCGTGTGATGATGTTACATTAGTGGAAGCAGCAGGGTTGCAGTTTTAGGAGGTGGCATTTTCAGAACAAACACATTTGCCCAGAAAGAGAAAAGGATTTTTTTATATATATATTTTTTTATGAATTGTTAAGAGGTTCCACAGGTTGGTTTGATAATATGCCAGTAAGTAAAGAAGCCAGAGCAGATAGTGCAGTGGAGGATTAGAAAGACACAGAACAACAGAAAACCACAGGCTTTGCTTCAACCTCTGGTCTGATATAAAGGGATAGTTCACTAAAATTTATACAGCCTCGATAAATAAATAAATAAATACTTTTTTTTTTAATTCAATTTTAAAATATTTTTCAAAATAAAAAAATGCATTATAAATTTTTATTATAACGTCAATAGTGTGCAAAAAAAAATCTATAATTTTTGCAAATCTTTTTATTTTCTTTTGGCTGTATAAAAACATAAACCACGGGTTTGGTGCTTTCACTCCACATGAACGTACGTACTATCCCTTTAATAATCAGACTCAAGTCAAAGCCCATTGGTGGTTTTTGGAGGTTAGGGTTACTGCTCATACGGGGCCTAAAGGCCCTCATCCTCCACGCACCATCCAGAGTCTGAGGGGACGAGGGGGGCCGGCCGTTAGAGAGTGGTGATCCCCATGGACGGCTCCCATTCTGGACAAGTAGCCGGCGTGACATGGACCTCCGTCAGAACCACTCTACTGAGACACAGCCAGGCCCACCAGAATTAAAACAATGCACTGAAGGAAATGAATGTGTCTTGTCTACCTCTGTTACTGCAGTATAAGTCGTCTCTGTATAAACAGGTTGCAAAGAAGCTAGAATAGCCTAAAGAATTTACAGTGGGCTAAATATATTAGCATAACAGGCTAACAAGTCTCTCATCTTTGGTGTTGCAGCTAAACAATTCAACCAACTCTGGAGGTAGAAGAATCATCGCCTCTCCTCCTGCTGGTCTGTCGTCAGAATCGTAATCAGAAATAGTTCGTCAGTCCTTTAATTTTTTTGCCACCATTTCGGTTGCATGTTTTTTAAACGGTAATTTAAATTCCGCAGTATGGCATTTTCTTTTTGGTCGCATAATTTTTGTGTTCTTTGTGGTTGTTAGGAAGTATCATTTTTCCACTGGTGCAAATGTAGACAGTGGCCTCTTGTGGCCACTGATGATAAAGCGTATATTTTCAGATACATAGGTTACTTCGGAACTAAATCTCAGGATTAGCCTTAGTGCTAAAAATATACGTTGATCAAAATTCTTCATTATCTACGTAGCTACAACAATATTTTTGTTTAGGACATTATTTAAAAACCGATGCTGTTTTCACGTCTACTGGTAGCAGAAATTTCTCCTTCCACATTTTGTGTCATGTCGAGTGAGGGCAGCTCCTCAAGAGGGCGATAATGATGTAAAGTGACTGCTGGGAAACCGATCTTTTCATGTCTCGACAAGGTTCGATCTGTTCAAACCGTTAGGGTCAAAGTTAAACATCCCTCAGTTTGATACGAGCCACGACCTCGTCCATGAACTCTGTCCAGGTTCAACTGAATGTCCATTTAATGTCTGGGCTCCTCATCAGCCCCCCCCCCCTGCCTCCCCCCCATCCACTCCTGTGTAGATGAGTCAGCAGACCACAGCCCAGTATGACGGCTGCTCCTCAGAGGTCAGACCATCACAGCACACAGTTTTGTGCTGAATATCAAGGACTAGATTAAGACTGTACCAATCGATAGAGCAATCTCCGTTGAGAGATGCACAGTCTCTGCCAAGGCTGCTAGCCTCATAGCTGAGCTAGCCTTGAGTGCCCCAGCGTCAGCCTTCAGTGGATTAATACTGCAGTGATCCAATTAAACATCCTGCTACAGAAAAACCATCACAGACCTCAGAGGGTTTTTTTTTCCGTCCTAACACAAGGCTACCAGCCCGCAGTTCATCTGCAACGTGCTTTTTCAACGTCTGACAACGGTGTTTGACACTGAGGTCTGTGAGCGTCACGATGGTTTGCAGCTTTGAAATAAAAATTGATTAATTATTTTAAACAAAAAAAAAAAATATATTTTTTTAATTTTCATTTTTTTTTAACAATTGAAGTAGCAGTAAACAGATTCTCTCATTGGCCCAACGAGTTACAAAATATTTTTGAAGTTTGTTGCATATTGAATTACCATTATAGCAAATAAAGCGTGTCATATTCCACAATCTCAATCCTCAAATTTAATTTTTTTTGAAACAAACACGTCTCTAATATCTCCTCCGCCCGGTCGGACAGCGTGGTTAATGAGTATCGTTTGTCTGCAGCGCGGCCAAAGTTACAGCCACCGCTGTGGTTACCAACGGCCGCAGCTGCCGCTGTCACCGCAATGAGCGGCTGCTTTGATCACAATAATTTGAAATGTCCAATTATTTACTAAGTCGCATTCCATGTGATTTAAACAATCAGCGGAGGAAGACGGGAGGGGAAAAAAATGAAAAAATATCTAAGTTTTTTTTTTCTACTTTCTAAAGGTTCACCACAGTGGTAGTCCAAATATAGATTTTTTTAATTTATTTTTTTTAACTCTGGATGCCCGTCCTGGCCTTACCATTTAGGGTCAAAAGATTGTGCTTTAGGTGGATTTAGAGCCAGAGATAAAGCAAGGCAGGCAGGAATCAAACCTCTGTTTGTTCTAGCAAAAAAGTAGTATATATATAT